AATGTGGGAACTGTTGCCGGGGTATGGTGTGGATGGTCGATTGCTAAGGGCTGTGCAGTCTCTTTACTGTGACTGTAAAGCCTGTGTGCGGGTAGGGCATGACCTGTCACCCATGTTTAACGTCCAAACGGGCGTAAAGCAGGGTTGTGTCATGTCTTCCTGGCTGTTCATACTGTATCTCGACAGCTGTTTACAGAAGCTGAAAGATAGTTGTTTGGGTGTGAAATTGGGTGACATTAAAGTAAATTGTCTGCTGTATGCTGATGATGCAGTGCTTATTGCACCATCAGAGGCAGAACTGCAGGCATTAGTCACGTGTATGAAAGAGGAATGTGAAATTAAAGGTCTCCGTTTGAATGCTAATAAAACTAAGGTTCTGGTATTTGAAAGGGACGAAGAGAGAACGAAGTGTGAAATATGGGTAAATCAGGAATGTCTAGAACAGGTAAATGAAATTGTATACTTGGGGAGTGCTTTTAGCCGGGATGGAAGATGTGATTTAGATGTGGACAGGCGTGTCGCTGCCGGGAACAAAGTCAATGGTGCCCTGACTGCGTTAGTCAAAAGGCAAGGCGTAGCGAAGAGTGCACGCCTTGCAATACATAACGCAGTGTTGGTACCGACTTTGTTATATGGCAGCGAAACCTGGGTATGCCAGAAGAAGCATAAAAGTAAGTTGAATGCAGTGGAGATGCGATCTCTTCGTAAAATGTGCGGCGTTACCATGGCCGACCGAAAGCGAAACGAAGAGATTCGCAATATGGCAGGTTTGAAAGATGACCTTATCACAAAAATTGATAAGGGCGTGCTTCGGTGGTTTGGGCACGTTGAGCGAATGAGTGAAGACCGAATGGTGAAGAAAATATATAGCGCGAAAGTTAATATTAAAAGGTGTCGAGGTAGACCGAGACTAACTTTCGAAGACCATGTGAGCAAATTGCTCGAAGAGGGTAGGGTCAAAAGTACTCGGATACCTAGACGTGCATGCATGAAGAAGATAATGAATCTGAAAGAAGCGAAAGAGGTTTGTAAGATTCGTGACACTTGGCGATCTGTTCTCTCTGGCTACCCCGTCAGGGATTGTGCGTGAAGATAAGTAAGTAAGTAAGTAAATTAAAAATTAATAATGAATTGACTAAATCAAATCAAGAAGTTGCAGCGGTGTTTGAGAAATATTTCACTGATGTTCCTATCTTGACAACAGAGTCATTGAATGCTTCTCCAACTGTCGCCGAATCATTACTTAAACAGAATGTTAATACCTGTTTAAAAGAATTTAGATTTGAAAAAGTATTACCGCATAATATTGTAAAATACTTCAAAACCATTGATGTAAAGAAAACCGCAGATTTGTGGGGGATTTCCGTTACAGTGATTACGTCCATAATAGATTTAATTGCACCTCATCTTGCTATTATTTTTAATACTTGTATCGATTCTGGTGTGTTTCCTGATTTAATGAAGTATAGTAAAGTAATACCTTTATTTAAATCTGGTAGTACATTGGACCCCGCTAATTATAGACCTATTTCTGTACTACCAACTCTCAGTAAAATTTTTGAAAAAATAATTTTGGATCAATTGTTAATTTTTTTTAATACAAATAAATTACTTCATAAAAATCAATTTGGTTTTACAAGGGGTCGCTCGACGTCTGACGCCGGTGTTGAGCTTATGAAATATATTTTTAATGCCTGGGAGAATTCACAAGATGCCTTAGGTATTTTCTGTGACCTTTCCAAGGCTTTCGATTGTGTTCATCATGATACATTAATCAGGAAACTACAACATTACGGTGTAAAAAATTTGGCGCTTAAACTTATTACTTCATATTTAAGTAACAGAACTCAAAAAGTCGTCATTAATGGTAAATGTTCCTCCGGATCGGTAGTATCAATGGGCGTTCCTCAGGGCTCGATTCTTGGCCCATTCCTGTTCTTAATCTATATTAATGACTTACCTTATCTTGTAGGGGACAATCACGATATAGTATTATTTGCTGACGATACCTCTTTAATTTTCAAACTGAAACGGCAGTCAATTAAATATGACGATGTAAATAATGCTCTATCGAAACTAGTACATTGGTTTAACGCCAACAATTTGCTCTTAAACGGCAATAAGACAAAATGTATTAAATTTACAATACCTAATGTAAAACATTCGAAAACCAATGTGCTCTTAAATGGGGAGGAGTTGAGTCTTGTGGATACCACTGTTTTTCTCGGTATTACTATTGACGCGAAACTTCAATGGGGCCCCCATATATCTAAATTAGCAAGCAGACTTAGTTCTGCAGCATATGCTGTAAGAAAGATTAGAAGTCTCACAGATGTTGAGACAGCTAGGTTAGTGTATTTTAGTTACTTTCATAGCGTAATGTCTTATGGAATTTTGCTATGGGGTAATGCGACTGATATTGAAGCTATATTTGTTTTGCAAAAGAGAGCCGTACGGGCGATTTATAATCTAAATTGTAAAGAGTCCCTTAGAGAAAAATTTAAAGAAATAAACATATTAACTTTGGCATCGCAATATATTTATGAAAATGTAATGTATGTACATAAAAACATAAATAGCTTTAATAAGAATAAGGATGTTCATACCTTAAACACTAGGAACAAACATAAGCTTGTAATGCCACTTACAAGACTCCACAGAATTAGTAATTCATTTATGGGGCAATGTATACGCTTTTACAACAGAATCCCAGAACATGTTCAAAGTTTGTCAATAAACAAGTTTAAAAGTTTTATTAAAGAAAAACTGTACAAAAAGGGTTATTATAATATCAAGGAATACATGAGTGAAAATAACCCCTGGGAATAAGGTGATCGCCACCATGCTGGTTCTATGAAAATTCATTTAAAATTGTATAATCAAAATTATTGTTAAGTGAAATTATGTTTAAAAAAAAAAGTCCCGCTGGGTTTCTTGCTGGTTCTTCCCAGGACAGAGGTATTTTCCGAACCAGTGGTAAATAAAATAATGACTTTCAATAAGTATTATGTAATAATCCATATTGAATAAAAATCATTCTATTCTATTCTATTCTATTCTATCGTTCCCATCGCGTCAGGGAGTTTGTAGCAGCTACAGTTCGGGACTGCAATAACGCCTACCGCCCTAGGTGCTACGGCTGTGGGGAAAGGGGCCATCTTCGATCCAGCTACCCTAAGCGAACTGTAAAAAGGGAAGGTGATTGATCTCGAGAGGGTAGTAAGGCTAATAGCACCGCCCAGTAGCAGCAGGGAAACGAGTAAAAGCCAGGACTGCGGGGCAGGTGCTGGCTGATATTAAAAGAGCCCCAAGGATTTCGAACTCACAAACTCATAATGGGAACAGCCTAATCATCAAGGGCGAGGTCAATGGAATGCCCTGTAAATTGAATTGCTGGAGCCTCTCACACGGTTGTCAGTTCCCCACTTATATTTTATAAGTCATTATTATTTATAAGTATTATTTATAAGTCAGTTCCTTGGGGACTCTGTATACAACCGAGAACGCATTAATTTGGTGACAGCCACCGGTCAGCGCATACCCGTCCGTGGAGAGAAGGAGATGGAGTTGAAGCTAGGCAACATGATCTACCTGCATAATGTCATCGTGGCTGATATAATGGACGACTGCATCCTGGGCCTAGACTTTATGGGGAAGAACTGTTGTGAGATCGATGTTAAGCAAGGTGTTTTGAAATGTGGACAAGAGGAACTTTTCGTGGAAGGAGCGTTACCATGGAATGTGTACAGTCTTAAAAAGATTGTTCTTCCGCCGAGACCGAAAACGATTGTGCTTCCTTCCTCGGAATCCTGGGCAAACTCTTTGTTGTGTACTCGTGGAAAGGGTAGACAATGACCTTTCATGGAAAGTGGCTCGAAACTTGGTCAGAACCGCCGACATCTTAGGAGTACGTGTGCTGAACCTTTGTGATCAGGAACAGATTAAAGAAAAAGGCACATTGGTTGGTATTAGTGAGGAAGTGGATTGGTTGCGTCGGTGCCAATATCTATCGACTGGGACCCCCAGCAAGGATGGACAAACGAGAATGACCACACTTTTAGAAGACTGTCGCAGCGTTCTCTCCCTGAATAAAATGGTCAAGTCGAAGAAGTTGTAACCGAAGTACGCCAATGTTTTTTCGTAAAACGAAGCGGACATAGGAAAGACTGGCTTAGTTCAACACAAAATAAACACAAGAGAAGAATTGCCTATTCGACAGCGGCCAAGGAGATTGCCTGTAGCACATGAAAGGAAGTGGAAACCATGATTGAGGGAATAGTGAAGGATGGTGTTATTGAACCTTCATCTAGTCCATGGTGTTCACCAGTGGTGCTGATAAAGAAGAAGGACGGCAGCATGCAGTTTTGTGTTGACTACCGCCGCCTGAAAGACATTTCGCAGAAGGACAGCTATCCCTTGCCAAGAATTAATGACACGCTGGACATTTTCACAGGCGTAAAGTGGTTTAGTACGCTGGACCTGAAAAATGGCTACTGGCAGGTTGAAATTGACCCTAAGGATAAGTAGAAAACTGCATTCTTCACAGGAAAGAGTCTGTGGCAATTTAAAGTCACGCCGTTTGGATTGTGCAATGCTCCAGCAACGTTTGAATGGTTGGTCTGGTCTACTTGGATGACATCATCATCGTAGGCCGTACGTTTGAGGAACACCTTCAATCTTCTGGGGCGGAAATTCCACTTACGAACTGATCATGCTGCATTGAAATGGCTATTGCAGTTCAAAAATCTGGAAGTATAAGTTGCGAGATGGATTGAACTACTGCAGGAATACGACTTTGTGATCGAACATCGCAGCTGGAAATCTCATGGCAATGCAAATGCATTGTCAAGAAGACCTTGCCCTGAAGATTGCAAGCATTTTACTTTGCAAGAGGGTAAGGAAGTGGAATATGCAAGGATACTCAGGACAGACTAGCTCAGCAATGAGTAGCAGGACAACCTACAACATGCGAAGACACATGCACATACAGCACATACAGCATGGAAGTTTCGGACATTAAGCCGATTCTGGAATGGATGAAGGCCAGTGCTTCTAAGCCCAAGTGGAGCGACGTCTCAGCAATGAGTTCGACCACGAAAAGCTATTGGGATCAATGGGACAGATTGCTGATTCAGGATGGAGTCCTGTGCCGTAAATGGGAAAATGGTCGAAGAGACAGATGTCATTTGCAAATGGTTGTCCCTAAGGCTAAAGTACCGGATGTTCTACAGCTGTACCATAGTGTTTGTTCAGGAGGACACCTGGGAGTTAAACGAACTCTACTGAAGATTCGAGAACAGTTTTACTGGGTCCATTGTTATGACGATATCGAGGACTGGTGCCGCAAATGTACAACTTATGCGGACAGAGAGGAATGCGCCTCTACTACGAATTTGAGGTCCCTTTACAGAAAGGGACCTCAAATTCGTAGTAGAGGCGCATTGAAATTGTATAATGTTGGTGCACCATGGGATAGGATAGCCATTGACGTTGCGGGACCATTTCCGGAAAGTGAAAGTGGTAACAAGTATTTTATGGTTGTGATGGATTACTTCACTAAGTGGCTAGAAGTCTTCGCCATTCCAAATGAAGAAGCTTCAACAGTTGCAGATAAACTAGTTCATGAAGTCTTCTGTCATTTTGGAGTACCTTTAGAGATTCACAGCGATCAAGGAAGGAATTTTGAGTCTCAAATATTCCAGGAAACTTGTACAGTTATGGATACTCATAAAACAAGAACAACTTCTTACCACCCACAATCTGATGGAATGGTAGAACGATTTATTCAGACATTGGAGAGGTACCTAACAAAAGTTGTGGAAAAACGGCAACGAGACTGGGACAGGCACATACAACCGTTTTTGGTGTTATATCGAAGCGCTGTTCACGAACATACATCAGTGACACCAGCTTTCGCAAAGTTTAGGAGAGAATTACGGCTGCCTGCTGACCACCGGAATATCACCTGCCCCGACGCAGTATAACCGATTATGCAAATGATTTGCGGAACAAAATGAATGACATTTATGAGCACGTCAGACAGTCAGGCCAGCAAACGTCTGAGAAGATGAAAACACGGTATGATCGCAAAATGAACAACAAAGGGTTTAACGAAGGTTCACTAGTGTGGTTACACAATCCAGCTCGCAGCAAAGGGAAATCACCTAAGCTTCAAGCTAAATGTGATGTACCGTACCGGATTGTGACAAGGATCAATGACGTAACCTACCGGATACAGAAAAGTGCCAGAGGTACTCCTAAGATTGTCCATGTGGATCGACTGGCGCGTTATTATGGGGCCAATAATGCTAGGGACGAGCATGTCTTAGGAGGGGGCAGTGTTGCGCGCCACTATTAATGTCTTGTACATGGCAACACTAGTCATCACTAGCGCCCTCTAGTGTCGAGTAGCAGAACTAGGAGAGTCAAGATCCTTCTAGAAATTTTGGGACCGATATGTACTCGAACATTCTAGATGTCGCTACAGTAGAAGGTTCTGGAAACTATCTGAGCCCCTATTTAAGGCCAGTATAGACTACGACCGAGGCAGTATTGAATTGGCGATACAAGAGAATACTTCGACGCGAAACAACTGCGAACTTAAGTGATCAGTAGTACAATTGTGTTTTATTATTAGTGTGGGTTTAGATTGTAATTAGTGTTGTGTAATTAAAGTGTCAATTTTGGTAATTCAATCGGCAGTTTTTAATTGTCTCGAGCCCTAACCTCCTACTAATATTATTTTACAGAAAGAATTAACACTCGTCACAAAAAAAACGATTTCAATTAATTTAATTTATTTATTAGAACCTGGTGCGTGGCGCGTACACATTCGTGTCGTTTTTTTTCCTTGTGTTTTTTTTTTGGATAGGGTAATAAACGGGCACACAGTCCACCTGATGGTAAGTGGTTGCTGTGGGCCATAGACATCTACATCTATTCTCGTTTGCGAATAAAAATGCAGATGATTTGTCACGCGTGAGGACCAAGATGGAGTGCCTTTTTTCCATTAAAATAGGTCTCCGGTTCTCTACACTCACCATACGAAACACAGCAGTGTGAAGCTGCTATTTTACGCTGGTATTCTGTGAGAGCGTGGTCCTTCCCCGGTCGAGCCGACACATTCATGCTACAACTATACTACTAATATAGCTGCAGCATGGCTCTACCACGTTTACACACATGGCTCTACTACGTTTGTGTAGCGGTGTTGGGAGTAATGGTGCTGGCATTAGTGAAAATGGGGATAGTGCACGCTATTGAGGGAGGGCTCTTCAAACTAGGTAAGACACATTAATTTACTTTATTACGCAGATTTTAGCAAATAAATTTATATTAAATAATATCTTTAATTAATTTACTTTGACAAATAGAACAATTATAATTTAAGTGGAATCGTAATAAATTCATAACGCTCCGCTAGTTATTATGCTAAGGTCTATTTGCTTAAATTTTCATCCTCTTATCGTTCTTGAGTTACCTAAAATGTGTAATTTTTATTACTCACTTATCAGTGAGTAATGAATGAATCCACTCATCATACTAGTTCTCATATACATAAAAATAGAATACATCAGTGGGTACAACACTGAATGGCGGGGGAAACAGAGAATTGAATGATACCTACGCTGACAGACACAACTGCACATAAAAATTAATAAACGGCCCCCAGTCCCCGGCGGCCCCGCTATTCCTGGCTACGGTGGCGACCATGGTAACGGCGGGGCAGGAGGTGCTAAGAATCTCCGGTGGAGGTTCGGTTGCCACCTACGACGACTCGACCTGGCAACATTAAACGCACGCACCCTGAGGACTGACGAGAAGATTGTGGAGCTGGAAGAAGAGATGGACAAGTTACGCTGGCATATTATAGGATTATCCGAAGTCCGAAGAGAGGGGGAGGACACGGTAATCCTCGAATCCGGCAACTTGCTCTATTACCGGGAGGGTGACCATCTGTCCCAAGGAGGTGTCGGATTTATCGTCCACAAGTCTCTCGTTAACAACGTTGTAAAGATTGAGAGTGTGTCGACGAGGGTTGCGTACCTTATACTCAGAATCACCAAACGGTATTCGCTGAAGGTCATACAGGTTTACGCACCAACCTCGGCACACCCCGATCAGGAGGTGGAGGAAATGTATGAGGATATCTCTAGAGCCATGCATTCCTCCAAAACCCAATATACGGTGTTAATGGGAGACTTCAATGCAAAACTAGGCACAGGAGAGAACGGTGAGCTGAAAGTAGGGAAATTTGGAATAGGGCAACGAAACCCAAGGGGCCAGCAGTTGGCTGACTTCATGGAGAAAGAGGGACTCTTTATGATGAACTCTTTCTTCCAGAAGCGGCCCCACAGGAAGTGGACCTGGTCGAGCCCCGACGGTTCGACAAAAAATGAGATTGACTTCATTATGACGACCAGACGACAACTGTTCAGTGATGTCTCAGTGATCGCGAGGGTGAAAACCGGCAGCGATCACCGAATGGTTAGAGGTACACTGAACCTAAACGTTAAGTTGGAGAGGTCTCGTCTAATGAAGTCAACGCTCCGTCCCCCTCGTGCTCTAATCCAAAGTCCCGAAACCTTTCAGCTCGAGTTACAAAACCGTTTTCAGTGCCTAGAAGACTGCAATGAAGTGGACGATTTGAATGACAAGCTCGTGGAAACTGTCCATGCGGTCGGAGCTAAGTTCTGCAAGACCCGCCGCAGAAGAACACAAAATCTCTCCGATCACACTCTTAATCTCATGGCTGTTAGACGGGAGATGAAGATCTCCAAATGCATGCGGCGGGACTTACGCAACTTTAATACAGCTCGTATTGAAGAAGCGATCGAGCGGAACCAAGGCTACAAAGTCTTTGCCAGAGATCTGTCTGCCAGAAAGCGCCAACTGTCAAAGCTGAAGACAGAATGTGGCAGCATCGTTTCCGGGGCACCTGAGATTTTGAGTGAGATTGAGAGGTTCTATGGGCAGCTGTACACGTCATCGTTGGAGCCGCACGCAAGTGTGAGTAACGATCCAAGAGCGAGTCTTATCCGACATTATTCCAATGATATCCCGGACGTCAGTCTGAGCGAGATTAGAATGGCTCTCCAGCACCTTAAAAACGGCAAGGCCCCAGGCGAGGATGGAATTACAGCGGAGCTTCTGAAAGCGGGTGGAAAACCGGTACTTGAAGTCCTTCAGAAGCTCTTCAATTCCGTCCTCCATGGTGGCATTACACCGGAGGCGTGGAGCAAAAGTGCGGTGGTCTTGTTCTTCAAGAAAGGCGACAACGCTCTCTTGAAGAACTACAGACCGATTTCCCTTCTGAGCCGCGTCTACGTGCTGTTTTCGAGAGTCATTACGAATCGTCTCGCGCGCAGACTTGACGACTTCCAGCCTCCCGAACAAGCTGGTTTCCGAAAAGGCTTTAGCACCATAGACCACATACATACCCTTCGGCAAATTGTACAGAAGTCCGAGGAGTACAATTTGCCACTATGTCTGGCGTATGTGGACTATGAGAAAGCCTTTGATTCCGTCGAAATTTGGGCGGTGCTGCAGTCCCTTCAGCGATGCCAAGTTGACTGTCGGTATATCGAAGTGTTGAAGTGCTTGTACAGTATGGCTACGATGGCTATCCGAGTACAGAACCAGAGTACGAAACCTATCCAATTGCAGAGAGGTGTAAGACAGGGTGACGTCATATCCCCGAAACTCTTCACTGCTGCATTGGAAGACGTTTTCAAGCTTCTGGACTGGAAAGGATACGGTATCAACATCAATGTCGAGTACATCACTCACCTTCGATTTGCCGACAATATAGTCCTTATGGCAGAATCGCTGGACGACCTAAGCACTATGCTCAATGACCTCAATAGTGTTTCCCAACGGATAGGTCTTACGATGAACATGGACAAAACAAAGATCATGTTTAATGTCCATGTCACACCTATGCCGGTAGTTTTTGGGAACACTAAGCTCGAAGTTGTTGACGAGTATGTTTTCCTGGGACAAATAGTCCGACTAGGTAAGTCCAACTTCGACCGAGAGGTCAATCGACAGATTCAACTCGGTTGGGCAGCGTTCGGGAAATTACGGCACATCTTCTCGTCAGGCATACCTCAAAACTTGAAAACGAGACTGTACACCCAGTGCGTGTTGCCAGTGATGACATACGGAACTGAGACGTGGTCCTTCACTGCTGGCCGGATGAGGAAGCTCAACGTCGCTCAGCGAGCTATGGAGAGGGCTATGCTCGGAGTTTCTCTGCGTGATAAACTCAGAAATGAGGATATCCGCAGTAGAACTAGAATGACCGACATATCCCAACGGATTAGTAAGCTGAAGTGGCAATGGGCCGGCCATATAGCTCGAAGAACCGACAACCGATGGGGAAGAAATGTTCTCGAGTGGCAGCCTCGTACCGGCAGGTAAAGTGTAGAGCGTCCCCCCCTAGATGGAGTGACGACCTGGTAAGATATGCAGGAAGTCGATGGTTGCAGGTGGCTCAGGACCGTGCCTTGTGGCATTCTTTGGGGGAGGCCTATGTTCCGCAGTGGACTTGTGAAGGGCTGTAATGATGATGATGATGAGATTTTTCCTTCACGTAGTTTTTTAAAATTTTTAATTGTATTTGGTTCTTTTATTTTTTGTTTTTTTTATTTATATATTTTTTATTTTAGTGCTCCCAACCCATTGTTCATTTTATTTATTTTTATTTATTTCTTCTTCTGGGTTGTTTGGAAGAGATAGCTTTGTAGCAATAAGACCGCCTTTTGTTTTGCCCTCAATAGTTGTTTATTTTTTTCTTTTTGATAATTTTATCTTTTCTTGATACAAAATAAAGAGTATTGTACTGTATTGTACGTGGTAAATTAGCACTTAAAATTGCAATTAACAATTTCATTGATGCCGGCAGGATTCGAGCACAGATCGCGTAGCCCATGACGTACCACAATTCACTTAGTTATTATTAAAGCTCAGTTATTTTCTAGTT